AGACAGAGAGTGAGCGTAGACCGTTAAGGTTGCAATGGGCGAGAAGTGAATCGGTCGGGCTGGGTTGACTGGACGTGAATAGAACCCGTTCGTATTCTTCGCCGTCAAAGGTGAGACAATATGTTTCTTTTGTCGCGAGTGGAAGCTTGAGCGATGAGGGGAGCAGAAGACGTCGTTGGTCAATTGGGCGCAGCCGCAGATGCAGTTGATAGGTGAAAATTGATGGTAAGCTGCGGGATGGGATTTTGGTGTGTAGTCCGAAAGTGTGACGAGGCTGTTGGTTGGCCTGCCGGTGGTTGGGTGGTGTGTCTCTGGGATGGACCGAATATCGCAGCGATAATGCGGGATAGTGGTGGGTGGATTGTATTCGGTATGGATGAATGGCTGGAGAGATGACAGGGCGAGCGAGGGGATGCGCTTGCTTTTGATCCCGACCCTTGGCGGCGGTGCTGCGGTACGCTCTTCCTCGGACCTTGAGTTGTGTTGCGTTGTATTGTGTTGCGTTGCGTTGCAATGAATCGATGGAAGGGAAGGATTGACGGATGCACTCGGTCTTTGGGGGCCGAATCTTGAAAGGCAAGAACCTAGGTACGAGACAGGGAAGATAACCGGCAAAGGTAGATACACAAGGATGTCGGTGGAATACGAATTGAGTACAATCGGAACCCAAAGCTCGAAGATGGGTGCGGATTAAAGACAAAAGCAACGAGCAAGCCAAAAACCCGGGCGCCCGACTCTATTCTTCCTCGTTCCGCCCTGTTATTATGTATTTGTTTTGCCTTGTCGTGCTCGTATGGGGATGTCTGTGGTGGTCGTGGAAGACAAAAAGACTGGTCACCGGAGTGCTCGAGCGTCGCCCCGTCCGAGGGTGAGGTGGAAGAAGCAAGAGGGATGAGGCCTGCTCGATGGGGAGCTCTGATGGGGAATCTCCAGCTCTGACCCGGTGAGGTACTGGTATTCAAATAAAAAGTCAGTCCCGGGCGCTGTTTGGCTGCAAGACGGGATGCGACTGCGCGGCTCTGTCTCGGTGATTGTGGGATCGTAGGAGGGGTGGGCGCAAGCTTCAGGAGGGGAGCTCCCTGCAGCGATGGTGTTTCTCTTGTGCCTCCAGTTCCGATGAGTGGTCACTGGTGCGTGTTGCTCAGGCTATGCGTAGCTAAGTTGACGGGTCACGGGTAGCGTTGGTTTTGGTGGTCGGGGCGTCGAACGAGGATGGGATGTCGTCACTGAGGGATGAAGAGGGGGGTTATCGATGGCTTTGATTTGAGATTTGTGTGTTTGGCCTTGGTGACGAAGAGAGCGTTTGGAGGAGGGGAGGGGACCCTGATCACCCTGATCCAAGATGTGACGATGTGACGATGGAACAAAATGGAGGGGAGCAAACGGGCAGCATGAAGTATCAAGTATTCCCAACTTCTCAGGTATTATGTACTGTGTATTGTGTATACGTATCTGCTACTCGGTTTCGGGGAAGAAGGTGCAGACAAACCTGTCTCCTTCCTTCCTTCTGTGCTTCTTCCCCCCTTTTCCGCCCCTTCCTGATGCGTCTCTGATTGTTTCGTCATTATCAAGGAAAAATTGCTGTCCCTTTTTTCTCCCGCTCCTTGACCCTTTCTCAATAAACAAGAATGGAAATGTCGTCTGTTTCTGGAGATGCCCGTGCCGCGCAGAAAGAAGAAGAAAAAAAAAACCACAATATCTGCAGGGTGCCACTGCTGCTGCCCTGCTGGCCTGCTACTGCAAATGTCAAAGATGCTGCTGGCCCGCTTGGTGCTCCGTCCATCGTCCGGGATCTCTGTCAGTGCAAAGGCCGGGGGAGGCCAGGGGGGCCTTAACAGCAATACCGCGTAGGTGGGCTGAAATGAGATTGCGGACAACTCAACACTAAAACAGCGAAATGATATTGCATGTTTATTTATTGGACATGCCATGTTACGGACCCGTACTCCGTACCGATACAGAATAATTGCAACATGGCGCTTGTTTTTCAAGGAGAATTGAGAGCCGCGGTTAGTGGTCCACATTCGAATCTCGAATCTAATAATCTTCCACTCCTTCTTTTCTTCTTATTCTCCGAATCTCCTCTTCTTTCTCGCTGTGATAAATGAACGTGGAGACTTGTGCAATCTGCTTGTGAAGAATTTTACCCTTGCATATCGGGCTGTCCGAGATGTCTGTCGACTCTTTTCCAATATCTTCATACACATCATGGGACCCGACCTCCTCTATTTTTTATTTTTTTACCATATTTCTGTGGCTGAGCGGAGGGCGTTTATTGTGTTGCATTTGCCTGGCTCGTCTATCCGTAAGTGCAACTTGAAAGATACTGATAGTTGCAGCCACCTATTTCTTTTCGGCCTAACTCCCGCCTCTAACCACCACCCAGCCGGTAGGCTGGGCCGCAATCAATCGACCCAAAGAACGATAGATGGTGTTTGCCTTCGAGAAGCGATGCTGGTAACCCGTAAACGGTGGTTGGCTGCCCCTGTTTGGCGGCAGTCGATCGTCCTCTAAGCGACCAAACGCCAACCCCAGGAACCAGGAAAAAAGTCCCAGGAACAAGGACTCATAACGCCCGCAACGGCGCAAAGCTGCAAAAAGATTTTCCTCGCCTTCTTCCTATTTCGTCTAGTTCCGCTTGAAATTCGCAACCCCGTCTTGGGATGGTGACTTGCAATTGATGCCCTACGACAACGTTTTTCCTGGTGCATGGTGTCTCACTGTGAGGAGAGCGAGTGAGACTCACACATTCTCACTATGCAACGGTTTTCAGAGCCCAGAGTGAGAGCCCAAAGGCTCCACAGACATGGAGACTCCCAGCGACGCTACACGCTACGCAGACGAAGCAAGCCTAGCAAATGGAACCAAGTGCATCCGGTCTGGCGGGTTCAACTTCAACACCAAACGATGACGCTCTCCCCGTCGCGCCCCCATTCGGCCCTGATTCCCGGTTCTATGGTCCGGTCGGTACGGAGTACTTTGTACACATATCTGTACACTAAGTAGGTATGTACCAGAAGCAGCAAGCAAGCACTTCTTCCCCCCTCCCCTCTGAGACCGTTTTCTCATCCGGGGTTTTGGGTTTGGAGCGTTCCTGAATCTCATACCACGTGTGTGTCTCTGGGATCATTCCTCTTTGTTCGCTTTGTCGTGCCACGCGATGACTCCAACTCCTGTTTTCGGGCAGGCAACCCCTTCGATCGAACAATGTTTGTTCTATGCATCCCCCCCCCCCCCCCCTCTGCGTCGAAGGTGCATCATGCACATTGTAAAAGAAGAACGCCTTACGATCTCGGGCGTCAATCAGGTGGACTGCATGCATATTCGTTCCTGGGCGGCTGGCGGCGGCGCAATCCGATGCAGGTCAGCCCAGTGGGTATGATTAATTAGCTGCATATTCTCTCCCCAAGTACCTTATCCTGCAGTGCAAAGGAAACATCATGGCAGAATCAGGTGTACGGATACCTGCCCCCCAATGACGATGGTGAACATCCGTTTCAACGTCTTGTCAAATGCCACCTCACCCGCATTGGTCACACTTGTGCCCCTTCTCCTTGGAAAGCTCGTGGGGTGACAGGGATTCGGGGCTTCCAGCTTTGGATTCTGTGAAACTTTCCCCGTGGCATCTCAAACAAATGTCGTCTGTTGATTCTGCATCTTCATGCTCCGCCCCCTCGGGACTCTCTGAGAAAGCTTGATGCCGATGAATGCCCGAGTTGTATCGCCGGAGGCTTTGTCATGAAGCAGAAACCGATCCATCGGGTTCGTGAAGTCCGAGCGAAAATGGCTCCCATTCTATGGGAGTCAGTAGCTCGACTTGACTTCGCATGATTCATATCATGCGCTTCTAGTATAGATACCGTAAATTGAAGGCCAGCAAGTTTCCGACAAGCAATTCTATGTGCTCAATTGTATCCCTAATTCGGCTCCATATAATGGTACTATAACAGACCAGTCGATGGAAACTACACCAGGGAAAGAATTGTCGCTTAATGGCATGTTTACAAGGGGGATCGCGGGAGAAAAAAGACAACACAAAGTCAGATAGATATAGGCCGCCATGCATGATCGGGATCCGGAGCAGGTCAGAAGAAATATCGGCTCTCGGTACCCGGTCAGACATTCCGGGTGATACACCGCTGAACCACATGCTTGGCACGGCGGTCCAGTGAGACGAATCTGGGTCGATGGGAAAGATCTTACTGTGCCGCTTCCCATGCGATCGGGGGTCCTCTGCTTGCAAGCGGCACTCGGGAGTTGACATAAAGCATGTTGGCCAGGTTGAATCTGTTGATTGATTGCCCCCTCCTTGACGAACTCAAATGTGAGTAGAGGGGCAACGTCTCTATCTGCAAAGCCTAGGACGTCAATTGAGCCACATGGAATGAATCTGATGAACTGGATTAGTCGAAAGTAGATGCTGATCTAGGTACTGTTAGGCTACAAGGGTATTGCATGTACCGCAGCCCACTGCGGCTCACCACCCGAGGGGTTGTGGGAGTATTGTTTTCGACTCATCCTATAAAATTGTTTTGGTTCCTACACGCCAATTATTTCTGAGTTTTCCATATATTTAGCTTCCTTGAAGTCAACGCCTTGCCTATCAGTGATAGAGATTATCAGTGATTGTCACCGCCGGTAGCATGATCTTTTGTTCGAACCAAAAGAAATAAGATGATGAAAATGAGCATGAATTCACTGGCTGGAACATAACTCTACACTGGGATCATGGCTTATTTTATGTCAGAAGTCGCAATGGATGAATAGCTACTTTAGGGATGGATATTCTATCCCATCGAGTGCGGAATGGCGTTAGTAAATACATTTGCGTTTTTCTCTAACGCTAATCCCTCTTCAGATTCTTCAATTTTGTGCAGTATTCGAATTACTACGGGATTATTAAGGAAAGTCGTGGAATAATACGTGATTTGTTACTGCCCTAAGTGGTACTGGCGCAATTCCGCACTCGATAGGATAATACAACCTTTCCCAAACACACATTAGAAAGTGATAGCCTGGACAGAGACTGGGTCTCCGTATTTCTTGCGAATCTCATCCAAGCCAATAATCGAAGAGGCGATGACTGTGGCCGGATCGGAGTCATTGCCAGAAGGTATGATCTTCCAAATGCTATTCTTGGGATCAGGAGTTTTGACCTTCCAAACGCCGTAATTGGGATCGAAGAAGCTTTTGGTCCCCAGATTCCAGCCAACCGCGTGGGCACATTGTTTAGTGCCATTCTGGAAAGAAAGGATGAGGAAAAGCTTGAACCCTGTGTTGATCTTACCCGAGTTGTCAAGCAAATAGTTGATGAAGATTTGGTTGTCGTTGAGATTCAAGTTCTCACTGTCTTTAGCTTTCTTGAGATTCTCAAAGAATGCTGATAGGTTACTGTGCCAAGTCAAGTATTGAGGTTCATTATCGAGGTCAAAGGAGCCTTGGACTCGAGATAGCTTCGTAGCCATGTTCTCGGTGGGAGCCGGGACGGTGCCGGTGGCAAGCCAATGCATCACCGCAGCCGAGCAGACTCCTTCAGCTGCTCCCTCTGCAAAGTGATCATCAAGCAAAGGCTTGCTCAGATTGTTTGACAGAGACTCGGACTTCAGATTCCTTTTGATGAATTCCTCTTGCTCGAATTTGGTAATGAGCTCGAGGACGGTAGGGCCACGGGCTAGGCTCTTATATTTAGTTGCAATATCGGAGCTTGCATTGTCATTCTTTGACTGCATCTTGCCTATAATCGGTCAGGTCCCTTTGGATCAAGACATCAGAATATCAATGCAGTAAGAGACTTACGAGATCGTTTTAGGTGAAGTTAGTCGAAAGGGGCGGAAGGCACAAGGGTTTGAAGCGGCCTCAGCTGGAGAGAATTGGATCTATTGTAAGCTGTCAGCTAAACAGACTATTTGGACAAAAGTTTTTATCTGCGTACTGAATGTGAAATCTGAGAGAGGAGAATGAAAGGTGGTAGGGCACTTTGTGATTGTATAAAAGGAAAGGGTAAGCAACTTCACTTATAGTGCTGGCTTTCGTATCTGGGTTTGTAAATGTATTACTAGTCAATAGATTTTCCAGTCCAGACTATGTACATTGCAACTCTTGTATCATTTGGTGACGTCTTGTATGCAAACGTCATTTCTTCGCCTCGTGCCGTCTCTGCGATTTCTTGACGGGAAAAGGAGTCCGGGACTTCTGGAGCTGAAAGATACGACGTATCTCAACTGGTAACACCTCTGGGCCACGGCTAAGCGAGTTGGCCCAAGATTGAGCGTGTGATGGTTGATGATGTGACTGCTCCAGCTACGGTTATACACAGCACTATTCCGAACAAGAAGACACACAGTCGCTGATTCATGAAGGCAATCAGCTGTTCCTAGGTTTCGCCTCCCAATTAGCCAGCCACACTAGACCCTCGTACACCTGACTGCTGGTTTCGGTGAATCTGTGCTGCTGAAATCGACCGTAACCCAGACCGGAGCTCATGAATGTGATAGTGATAACGATCAGTTGAAGCTAATCTACCCGGTGCGAACCATATGTGGCGTGCCGCTTGCCGGCGGTCAATTACTTGGTTGAGCAGAGTGTATTAATATCCTGTTTCACTTTCTGTGCGTGATTTGCAAGCCCCGAGAACTACGCCTTTTCCTACTTCTACCACCTGACAGCTCACACTCTACCCAGCCGATGAATACATCATCGTGTAGGAACTCGACCTCTCCAACTAGTATATCAATGAACAAAGCACATGTGGCTGGCTAGGGGTGGGGTTTGCTGAGTCTGGGCCAGCCTGTCTTAAATCATGTCTCCCGAAGGCCTGCGCCTCCATTCTTATGATGTTGACGGGCAATTATCTCCGAAATAGTCTGGAGATCTATGCTGTGTACAGCTGATTGACTTGAAATTATTGATCAACCCTTATCCGTACTGTTTCGGGATATCAACCCCCGCTTCAAGCAGCGCCTCGGCACCTTGACGCGCCAGCATTCACCGTCCTGTGGCTGGCTGACCGTTGACACGCACGATACTAGCTCAGGAAGCGATGCCACTTCCGCATACCCGGCTCCTCCCCGCCAGTCGACCTAGTTCCCTTTCTAACTGCGAACATGTCTTGACACAAACTCGCATCTCTACCACGCGATATATCATATCGATCGCGGGTTGACGTTAGTACAAGGGTAAGTATTTCTATGAGGGGTAAAAGCGCATTATATGATCGTCGAACCTTATAGCCCTTATTCCCAGACATCAAAAATTGAGTACCATTTCGGAGTTGGAAAATAAATAGAGGTTCATGTGCTGACGTCTACCAGTCACCGATGGGATACCCATCAGGCCTCATGGCGATTATCTATAGCCCCTGCTTATATTAGCCAAGGAATCATTTGTTACTGCCTGTTACTGCGGGCCTGACGATAACGCTTTCTGATGATCAGCAGAAGCTACGATGTAGCGTACAGGCTGCTGAATTCATCTTCTTCGTATGTGAGACGAAGCCGATCTACCTGCCAAGTGTTGGGGCAAGTAAGGTAGACTAGCGTCAACTCGAAAGCATCGATTGGACAGCACTGGCTAGTCTCTTCACAGCGAGTTCAATAGGCTGCGATTTTGGTCTGATCGAGAGGGCAGGGGTCTGATACCACGCGATAGGCCGAATAAATCGATCGTTTTCGGAAGGAATCACTATTCTTGAGGTGAAGAGTATCGAACTGCCGATGATGATCCCATCATTGCAGACTTCGGAAGGTTATCATGTGCCGAGACAGCCTATATATGTCTTACCACAGCCAGCCACCAGGGCTTAGCGAGCGACAGTCCGTCTGGGTAAAAGTTGAAATAGTAAACAGAGGGTTTTGTTCATAGCTCAGACAGCCACCAGCAGATAATTTGTAGTCTCAGCTCATCCAATCTGCCACCACTTTTCCGTGAGTGGATGCCTTCGTGAATCGTCCCGAGCGCCGACGGCCAGAGCCGCGCCTAGATACTGTCCTGGTTCTGCACTTTGACTTGTGGCATCAGCTGCCTTACCCCTACGCATCTGGAGCCCCCGTCTTGTCGTATTGGCAGCCAATTCTTCTTTCGTCTCAGCTGTGGAAATCTATTAATGCACAAATGTAGAATTGAAACTAGCATAAGTAGACTAAAAGTCGACATCTTCCATGGGGAGGAATTTCCTCTCGTGGTGGAGCTCTTCCACCTGAGCCTCACCCAGCGCCTCGCGCATCCGTCTCTCAATATTCTCTTTGAATCGCTGTACATCAGGATCCTCATCTACTTGTTCCACTCTCATGTGGATCAACTGAACCACATGGCGTAGAATGTCATCGCGGGAGGTGTCGACATCATTGGTGCTGACGTGATAGTCAAGCGTCCTAGTAGCTACCCAAGTCCGTTCGATAATCTTTCTGTCCTTGACAATCTTCTCGTACTCAGCATTCATCTGCCAGAAGAGATCATCCAAGAGTCTTGTAAGCTCCTGTACCTTTGGGATCAAGCTCTGCAGATTGGAATGGTTATTCCTGCAGTCGTTCTCAGTCCTTTTGGCATTATCCCAATCTTGTTGGCAGTTATTGACGTTTCGCTCGTTTACTCGAACTTGGTCGTCGATGTCTCCGCCTCCTCCAAAGAAGGAGGACACGTCGTACCAGCCCTACAAATGACGGATGAAGTTTTAGCAGACAACTCAAGCAATGTTATGATATATCAAGCTCGCTCACATCTTTCTTATCTTTCGCATCCCTCAAATCGCTTTCAGCAGTCGCCAAACGCTCAGAGCAGCTCCTTGAAGAGTATTCAGCCCTTCGAAGCACGTCCTGCGCGCCAAGAACCTCCCCGCTGATGTTGTTGAGGAGGACCTGGATGTCATCCTGTAGCTGCTTGTTTTCACCGCCGTACTGAGTCGTACCTATGAACTCCTGACCGATACGGTCAACGGAACCTTCACAGGACTTAGCCAGCTTGTGGAAGAGCTCGATAGCAATGGAGAGCTGTGGGACAGCGTCTTTACCGACAGGCGAGTCGCCATCCGCTATCTGCAAGAGCTGGACGACTAAGGTCTCAAGTCCCTCAAAGGCGGCGTCATTGGCCTTGTCTAGTAAAGCGGCTGCTTCACTAAAAAGGGTACCGTCTCCAGCACGCTGGCCATCAAGACGTTGCCGGAACGCGTTCGACTTGGCCTGGAGATTGTGGAACGATTCAAGATATGCGTTGTACATCATGACGGAAGAGAAAGAGAACTCCGAAGAATAAAAGCATTCAATATCCAGAATGCAGGTTGACAGAAGTTGGCTGTTTGACTGAGTGATGATCCTTTATAAAGAGTCTAGGGATTGTGCCCTGTTTCAAGCAAAGTGCTTCCAGAACAAACACCAAATCATTGGGATGGTTCATTCTCCGAATATTTGTTCTAGATGATGATCCCTTTTTGGCAAGTTAGCGGCATGTTGGGGAATCCTTCCTGCAGCTTCGGTCTGTCAAGCCACTATCACATTGCAACGCTGGGGATTTAGAATCCAGACCACGAAAGACGTCAGAAGTCGCCGCCGCTAACCCTCACAGAGCTCTTCTGTCACCGGTCTCGGCCGTAGGAAGCCGTAGAAAGATGGTTGTTGTCTGTCTCAACTACGCTAGTCAGCTGAAAGTCTCTGTGACAAACTCGTAGTCGAGAACTGTTTTCAGAGAATCTTTCGGCAAAACCACTTCAAGTGATTTTCTCTGGCTGGCTGAAGAATCATTCAGGGTCAAGAGATAGTGATAGTGGCGCGGAAAGAGACTCAATGAGCAGTACATGCACAATTACGGAGCAGTGGCTGGCTGAAGATGGAAAAACAGAGCCCATACTTCCGCACCCAGAGTGACAATCGACGGGGGATGTTGAACTTGTAAAGCGTGGCGCTTACACAGAGAGAGTCCAAGATACAGGAAGCAGTCGAAATCTGAACCGCAAGTTGCGAAGATGTAGACTCACCGTAGTGTCCCAGTGGTCTGCTTGCGTCAGAAGTTTGATTGAGCATGGTAGACCTGTACGATTGAAGCTTCGAAGCAGGAAATGCCAGACTGGCTCGTTGTCAAGTATAAAGAAGACAGCCTTGCCCATCGAATGCACTCCTAGTAGGCTTCTAAACAACCATCACTACCCATTACTACCAATCTTAAGTACTTGACATAGATTATAATCCCCCCTTCGAGAGATCTGATTTCTCCACCCCTTAACTACCATTATGTCTGCTGATAGTCTTGCTAAGGTTGAAGCTGCTCAGCAGGCCGTCTTGAAGAAGACTCATGGAGGCAAGGCGGGGGCCCAGTTTGTTCAAGAGGTCAAGGAGTCTCTTCTTTTCCAGTACAACTGGAATGAGCTTCTTTCCGCAGCTCCGACTGCCATTACGTTGGTTGGTGCTTGCCATGTTGCCGCGGCTTCACCCGAAGCCGCAGCCATCAGCTTGGGCGACGCTGTCCCAGCTGGAGGATTCAAGTATTTGCGGTTTGTTCCCCTTCCTTAGTTCTCCAGACATCCCGAGACAACAGCGACCTAATCATGTCTAGTGTTGCCGCCAAACCAACCCTCAGAGCCTGTCTGGTATTTGTTGCCGGGGAAGGTGACAAGGCATTTCGCATTGCGGGAAGTAACATGTCAGCCATTGCCGGCACGTCTTCTGAGCTCATAGAGACCGTCACCCGTACTGTTAAGGCCATCCAGGGCCTCCCAGACACTCAGCGCAACTTGACGAACGAGCTTATAAAGTTGCGAAGGATGTCCAACAATTGCCTCAACTACGCCCAGGACACCGAAAAGGCCTTTGATACCTGGCTTCTAGCTGTTTCTGAGTTCCACCAGGCTTCTGTTCAGAAACATGGTACCACTGAGCAGGAATCTCAGGACAATCTATCTGCTAAGCTACAGGCTGAGATCGAGGCAAGCTACACAAACAAAGAACTCGAGAAGGCCGACCAGGCCTCTGAAGACATGAAGAAGTCGCTTGCAAAGCAGGAGAAGGCATTTCAGGCCGCCAACGACGCTGTGCCATCTGGTAACTTGACTTATTTTTATCCATTACAATGCCATACAATGCTAACAGAATCCATTCACAGCTTGGGAGACCTGCGCTATGGGTGCCTTGACTGCTATAACTTCGGCGGGACCCTCGCTCATCGCTCAGGCACTGCCTGCCATTGTCAATGCCGCGAATCCCATGTCTGCAGTCAATGGAGTTGTAAGCGGGCTCGCTCAAGCTGGTCGCCAGGGTGCGCTCAACACTCCGGGTGCACCGCCCATTGCTCAAGCTCTTCTCGGAGGCCAGCAAGGCGCTCAGCCTGGCGGCGCAACTCTTCAGTTCAACGACGCAACTCCCGAAACTGATCCTGCATATGTCGCCGCCCCTCTTCTTGCTCCCTTCATGACTACGCTCTTGACCTATCTTACTGCCGGTGAGGGCAATACCCCCGACTGGTCAAAGTTCAAGGACCAAGCGTCTAAGAACGGAGCCGGGACCGAGGGCCTTACTTGGCTGCTCAGCAACCTCCAGATGCAACAGAGGTCTGCAAAGCTGGGTACTGGTACACCTAGCACGGAGCTTGCCGCTGCCTTTGACTCCAGTATTGCTATCGTTGAGGATATCAAGAAGGAGGTCGCCAATCAGCAAAAGCTTAGCTCCGCAAAGACGGACCCAGCCTCTATCAAGAAGTGGCAAGATGCCATTACCCAGGCGAAGCTCACTGTTACCAAACTCGAGGCTACAGCAAAGTCGTTCCCTGGCTCCTCCTCGAACGCGCCGAAGTTGAATAACATCTCTGTGGACAAGAAGGACAATAGTGCCGTCACGGCCGCCCTGAACACCGCCACCGAGAAGCTTGCCCTCAATCAAAAGGCCCTAGAGACCGCCCAGGCCAACTACACGAATGCAGTCGCAGCTGCCGCAGAGGTTCAGAAGAGGTTGACTGGCATTCAGACCAAACTCAAGGGCATCGAGATTGCCGGCGCAGCCCTTGAACGCGTCAAAGAGATCTTGATCGAATGCATTGCCATTCTGGTTGAGCTCAAGGTGCAGATCAGCAAGCTAACTACCTTCTTCAATGCTCTTTCTACCATGGTCAAGGTCATCATTGAGACCAAGGTGAAGAACTTTGACACTGATGTCACAGCCATCGGCCAGGAGGCGTCTCAGAGGGGTATACTGAAGCTCAATGATCTCGATATCGAGACCATCTATATCTCGACCCTGCAGATCAAGGCGTACTTTGATCTTCTGCAGATGATCTGCCAGATGTATACCAATGTGCACGCCAAATACGTCAACCCGGGCCTTGATCTTCTCACGGAACTAAGCAAGGTCACAAAGACTGCTGAGGAGATCGCTCCTAAGCGCGACCAGCTCAATAACTTTACAGATGCTGCGAATAAGGCTATAAATGAGCTTGTTGCCCAGGTGAGCCGCCTTTTCAGACCAAGAGACTTTTTGTATCAACGAATACCGCTAACATTGACATCTTCCTCATAATAGAAGCAACAGGAAATCTCCGACGGCCTTCAGAGCCGCATCGACGCCATTGCGGAGCAAACAGACATTCTACACAAGGTCGGCGTTCCCATGCCTGCCGCTGGCATCATTCAGGCTATGAGGACTGGCGGCGATGTGATCAAGGACGCAGTCAAGGACAATCTGCCCAGCGGTATGCGTGTGGAGCAGAATGTAGATGCTGCATCTGACTTTTGAGTGGAACATTGAGGACTTTGAATATGTTAGGGGTTAATCCGAATACAGACATTTCTTCGAAATGGGCTGGTTGTGTATGTGAGACTTGGAAACGTGATCGTGGAGACGCTGTTAACCCCGCCACCCGACCTGTCAAGCTCCAAATACCAGATCCTTGTCGTGCCGTACACGGCACAGGCACTCGGCGAGTGCGGCTAGTTTCCCAGCCGGGTGGGTAAAGGTGGGCTCGCGCCACTTTGCTCCGATGTGCCGTCATCGGGGAACAAACGCCGGCTGTTGAAGAATTTCTCCAAAAAGCATTACTCATTCCGGTTGGAGACGACATTGGAGATCATAGAGTGGATCATCAAGAAAACACTCAACTCCTTGAGTATCGAAATTCAAATCAGCTGTTCATTCCGTCCTGTACAGTTTGAGTGGTAATTTTGACGAAACTTTCGTTGTCTGAGCTTCTTACATTTTTGAAAGAATTTTCGAAACTTTTTCTGGCCTCCAATGAAGGAGAAGTTCTAATCTCTCAACACAACAACGATGAACGGCACAAACGGCACAAATGGGCACCACGCAGTCCCGCAGACGCTCAAAAGAGCCGAGGAAGTAGAGGATGTATGTATCTCAGCATCGTAAGCAGTCGTGGATTCTCCCGAATATCCCGGACTAACCTGCACCCCTTGTTCAATAGCTGCTTGATGCCATCAAGGGTCTGATCGTCCCGTACATCAGAGCAGCCGATGAGGCGGCTGGCCAAAAGGCCAACGGCTACACATCCGTCGATATTGAAGGCGTCCCGAGCAATGTCTTGGTCGACACGCAGAAGCCTGAGGCGTTGGTTGAAAAGTTGAAGCTGTCTCTCCCCGAGGGCGATGGGCTCGGTAAGGAAGGCTTGCTCGATGTCGTGCAAAAGATCTTGAGGTACAGCGTCAACACTTGGGATCAAGGCTTCATGGATAAGTTGTATGCAAGCAATACTCCGGTATGTTCGCAACCCTTTTGGTACATGCGAGGTGCGCTGGGTGAGGCTCTGACTTATCACAGGTGGGCGTCGTTTCCGATCTCGTTCTATCTGTCCTAAACACAAATGTAAGTTCACCCTCCGCCCCCTCCCCTTGCGGCGAGGTGTCTTTGCTAAGCGAACCAAGCTTCACGTCTACCAAGTCTCACCCGCACTGAGCATAATCGAAAAGATCACGGCACGAAAGTTTGCAAACCTCTTCGGCTTCACCGGTCCCCGCGCCGGCGGCGTCACCTGCCAGGGCGGTAGCTCCTCCAACCTGACCTCCCTCGTCGTGGCGCGGAGCGCCCTCTACCCAGAGACAAAGGCATCCGGCAACGGCTCGCACGATTTCGTCATCTTCACCAGCGCCCACGGTCACTACTCTGTCGAAAAGAGCGCCCTGGCCTGCGGTCTCGGCGCCTCGAGCGTGTGGGCCGTACCCATCGACGCCGCCGGACGCATGATCCCCGAAGCCCTCCGCGAGCTCGTCCTCCTCGCCAAGGCGGAGGGC